GCCTACCAGGAGCGTTTGTGGCATTTTTGAGCTCTGCTACTGCCATGCAATACGCTGCCGGATGTCCTCATATTGTTGTTTGCCGCGGCGGAGGCAAAAAATAAGATTCTTTGGTGAGAACCGCCGCGCATTGCACAGCTGCATGAATTGACATGGACGCAGATTGAGATTGATTCTTACTTTAAATGTTGAGCTCGGTGCGCTGAATCATCCTCATTTTGTTGTGATCAATATGTTGAGAGATGCATCATGCAGAGATAATTAGGTATCACAACTTTACATGCGTGCAAATGTTGTTTAGACGCATCGATGCGCTGCCCTTAACGGCTGAAATAAATTATTTGCGCTGTCTGTGTGACTACAGTGACCGGTTCCGATATTTTACACATCGGCATTTTGCTGAGGCGTTTTGGTATGCAAATATTTTGTAGTTGTCGGTATTTCGCGTAGTCGATATTATGTGCTTCGATGTTATGCGTTTCCATCTTTCACGTTTCGCTGTGTTGCATGTCGTTATTGTGTGATCGAAATTGCCTTCGTTCTCCTTAAGCGTATTGACTTTTGTCCTCATGCAACCTGGAGCCATTCGGGCGCAATGGGCGACTAACATTGTGCTCTGTGAAAGTGAGCCACGAAATGCCAAGGCTAAAGGGCGGCGCCCCTGCTCGTCGCCTGCACGCTCCTGATGACACGTAGGTTCAGGAAGCTCCGCTAGGGCTGGCTGGTTATGACTTCCTTATACAGGGCTGATGGGCCGCTCGAGTGCACGAATCGTGACGCCCTGGTCATCCGAGGCGCACTTAAACCATGGCCGGCACAGCCACGTGAACGTGTGTAGCGGACGCGCAGCCGTCCTTTCAACATGGCGACAGGCTTAAATTCAATACCGCGTCATGTTTGTCGCATCATAGCGAAGCGATCCTTCCGGTGCGTTGCTAATGCGCATCTTGTAGGACTCGCGGGAGAAGTATGGTATGTGCTTAGTGACCATACAGTTATAAATCCAGTTTTTCATGAAACTAAATTCGTGCCTTCGATGCCGATTCTAGCACTGCAAAAACAAAAGCGTTAACCCATCGCTTGCTGAGGGCGCATGGTGAATGGCCACACAATACTTTTGGAGCTCTTTTAAAGCCATACAGCGCGAACTGGTAACACTGGAATGCATAGTTAACAAAACAAGGCCGACGTTTTTTTTTCACACTGCGTGCATCTGAACCCGTGTGACGTGAACTACGGCCTCTGCTCGGCTATCGGCTGGTTATCCTAGTGCCTTCTTTTGCACGCCGGCAATGTCCAGTCAGTCATGTTGTCCACCTCCGTCGTGGTATTTCTCTCTTACCACTGTCGCAGTGCTTTGATAACGCACAGTTCCGGGCAGATGCACAATTCACAGCTTTTCAAGTGTAAATTCCTGAGGCGTCTCCGATAGCGTCAAGTACCGCTAAAAAATGATGTGCAAATATAATCCTCACGATCATCATTGATCTGCGATCCTACATTTCGTGCGCTGGCGCTGTTCACGCTAATCAGTCTTCCCGTAAATGGTGATCCCAAGATTCCTCGCTGTGCATGGGCTTAAAAGGGGACCTTCCCTGCAGCGCAGTGCGTTCATCAATCCGCGAACCGAGCTATCAGCACGCATGCGCGCTCCCAACGCTCGAGCACGCGTGCTGTGAAAACTGCAGGCTCTTACTGCCCGCTGTTTAAACTGAACAAGGGTCAACTAGCAAAAGCCGACAAACAGACAGATAGACATACAGGTAGAAATACACTTTCTAAAAAATATGTATTGTATGAATGCCTCGTCTGAACACGGAGCCGGTAGAGCGGTAAAGTCGTGCACCTCCATAACGTAGCCAACCTCATTCTGCAGTCTAAAGCTTCTGGCGAAGATCGTTTGGTTCAAATAAAAAACTGGAAAATGAAGTGGTGCAGAACTCGTGGCATGACGGCAAGGCGCAAAGAAAACGCTTTTATGCTATTGTTATGTCGCCCGGAATGGGCCCGGCCCAAACCTTCCTGAGGGATATGTTCTTAGAATGGGCCCTGCTGCACACCTGATCTCCTCTGATCAGACCAAGATCACTGGTGCTTCATGATGGAGTCTGAGCACATTTTCCTACACAGGAAACGCCCAAAAGACCGAAGTCTTGCCTTCGCATTACCAATGCCTTGAATTATGAACTATTGCGTCTGATTACTCCGGCTTTTCCGGACCTGACTTTGCGCTCGCAGCAGGAAACTGAGTAGGCGGTTATTATGTTCATACAAATTAACTCCAGTTAATGATCAGCCTAGTTGGAGACACCCACGAACATGGAACGGCATGGCTGGGAAGTAGGAACATCAGGCCTCACAGACGTGCTTCGCGGCAACGACGTACGAAAAGCTACCGATGGTCACCTCAGTCACGTTATTCACGACTGTCACGACAGTAACGGCAGTCACATCAGTCATGTCAGTCACAACCGTCACGACAGTCGTGTCAGTCACGCCAGTCACGATAGTCATATCAGTCACGACAGCAGTCACGACAGCCAGGACAGTCGCGACAGTCATGTCAGTTATGTCAGTCATGAAAGTCATGTCAGTCGCAGTCATGTCAGTCACGACAGACATGCCGATGCTGTCATTTACGTCAGTGACGAGTCATACTGGTCATGCCAATCATGCCAGTCATGTCAGCCAAGTCAGTCACGACAGTCACGATGGTCATGACAGTCACGACAGTCACGACGGTCACGACAGTCACGCTACTCGTCGGTCAGGCCGACGTTGGCGGTCAGAGCGAAGGTCAGCTGACGCAGAGCACCCGCGACCGGTGTTCAAGGTGAACAAAGGTTGAGTACAAGACACTCTCAGGCATGTATAATTACTCTTGCTCCGTGCCGCGAACGGTGCTGGTATGGCCAGCAGGGAATTCAAGACCCTCTGCAATGTGTTGACGTCACGAACAAGCTGTTTTGCAATATCGGCTTGTGCAGAACTCCTGGCAAGGCCCCAGCCAATGATCACATCGCCTGACGCCATATTTGCGATGTAAACACGGCCATGCACCGGCGGCACACGGATGGCCTGCGAACCGCCGCCTGTGTCGTCGACCCCCGTTGGGCCGGCCTCACAAATCGGGTGAACATTGGTCCTAGCTGGGGCGTGCATGTCACGGGGCGTGACGTAAGTCGAGGTGTCGCCGGCGATGGGAAGGAAGGTGTGTTTCGAAGCGCGCTTGGCAACGGGAGCTCATGGGGCACCGGCGCGGGTGCTGGTGTCCGGTAAATAAACCAGCAATACGGAGCTGCGGTTCGCGGCGCAGGTGCACAGCCAGCACCACACCGCAGCCAACCGAGAATCCAAAATGAATAGAGATTGAATGCTGCTCATTGCAACGTTACGGGGCAGTTCTGTTCACACCTTGTTCGCAAAACTGCATCTCCGGGAACAATCATAATTACATTATTCTGTCCCCATTCTGGAACACCATACGTGCAGGTTGTGTGCTTTTTACACGTGGCTGGCACGAACTGTTTTTATTTTCATCTATTGCATGGCAACTAAACGGAATACAGGTGTGCCGCTAAACCAACAGCTCACAAACGCGCATTTTGGCCTGCATTGGTCAGAAATATTTTAGCCATTCAATCACACGTAAATCCTGGATATTTTGTTGGACATAGGCCTAAGCGATGCGCATTTTAGATAAAATTTATGGGATTTTCACGGCTTGTTTTTGACACTCTCACGCATAGGAGTGCTTATGTGATATCTGATGGACAACAGTCAGGAGATAGAACGTTTGCATAGCCTTTGGAAGTGCAGCGTTGAATTTAAAGACGATTGGTGAACAGAGGCTGTGCGGTTGATGTCAATGTCACATGCCGGCGGGCAATGGAAATCTGACGCAAATCCTTTACGGGGGCCAAGGCCGCCAAATCCATGGCTGGGGGCTGAAAGCAGCCAGGGGAGTACAGACACCTAGGCCAATACGATTGTGAGGACTATCGCCACCACTGACTCCCCCTGATCATCCGCCGCAGCAGGACTATGATGGTACTCACCACGTGGCAAATCGCCCCACGTGAAACTTCGTAGCAAACTGCTGCTCCAGGTGAGTGCGGGCTGCCGAGCTGACCTACCAGGAATAATTTGGATAACTCGGCTCAGCAGCCCACACTCTGCTCAGCAACTCGGATCTCAGCAGCTCACACTCTCCCTAACAGTTCGTCTCAGCAGCTCAGTCTCCTCAGCTACTCGGATCTCAGCAGCTCACACTCCCCCTGACAGTTCGGCTCAGCAGCCCACACTCTCCTCAACAACTCGGATCTCAGCAGCCCACACCCTCCTCAACAACTCCGATCTCAGCAGCCCACACTCTCCTCAACAACTCGGATCTCAGCAGCTCACACTCTCCCTGACAGTTTGTCTCAGCAGCTCACACTCTCCTCAACAACTCGGATCTCAGCAGCCCACACTCTCCTCAACAACTCGGATCTCAGCAGCTCACACTCTCCTCAACAACTCGGATCTCAGCAGCCCACACTCTCCTCAACAACTCGGATCTCAGCAGCCCACACTCTCCTCAACAACTCGGATCTCAGCAGCTCACACTCTCCCTGACAGTTCGGCTCGACAGCCCACACTCTCGCTGACAGGCCCTCGGATGATGATCGGTGAGGTGTGTACAACGTTCCGACACGAGCTGATGTGACCTCTCTGACTTTGACAACATAACAGAAGGAAAATATTTTCATGCCTGTTCTCTAAACAAGTGCCACCCATTTGGGCAAAGCAGGCAACCGCCGGAAGTAATCTTGAAGCACTTCTGCTAGAACCAGCCGGCCCCGCCACAAAGAGAGGAATCCTCTCCTGAGGATTTTGCATCTGCCACGTGCGCTGACAAGTCACACCAAAGCGAGGAATGCCTTCGTCCGAAGTCGTGTAGGAGATTCACCCACCCTCTCTTTTCGACTCAGACTTTTGCAGTTCCCAAATGCAGACGATCCATTTTGAGTCTCTTATATTTTCGCCGGAATACAAGGGCTGACAAAGCATGCAATAATGCTTCCGTGGGACGCAAACTCAATGTTTACCATTCATAGCGTTAGTCCAACAGATCAACCACACCAAACCAAGTGCACCGACGGAGTTCCGTGGCGCAAAAAGGTAGCAGAGGGCACAGTCTACCATCTCCAGTGATCTCATCTTGCCAAGGATCCTCCCGCATGGCCCCGCTGACGGCGAAGGTGTTCTGTCTTAAATCATGCACGGACGCCGGAAACCCCGTCAACACTGTGTAGTGCGACTGCGGAACGCTACCGGACTACGGTCCGGGATCCCTATTTTCCAGGCGCTCCCGCAGCTCCTGGGTAACCCGCCGGAGCTCCTGGAGCCCCTCCAGATGGATACGCGTTCTGTGGAGACGCAGGCAAGCCGACTGTCAGTCAGTGGAACATGGGGACCACGACGCCATATTGCTAGACGCTCCGTAAAGTCACCGCCTCTAGCTTTGGATCGTTCACTAACACCACTGAAGGTCTGTGGCTTAAGCCGCAAAACATGCGAGAAAGCGTGCCATCGGGTCGCAAGTCCTTCCAGCTCGCTCCAGTGCCGTGTGCTGCCTTTATTAGTAAAAGATCGGTGCTGGGTTTCAGCGTCCCAGCTTCGCTGCACTCACCGCGCTCCCCCCGGCGAATTGCGTTTCATGGCAGTTAGTTCCTCCTCCACTGCCTCCTGCGCCGCCTAGAAACCAGAACGGTAGTGTAAGAGTGCCGAAAGGAAAATCGGGTGCCGCAGCGCACTACGGCTCGGTACTAAAGCTCAATATCTCAGTCTTGCTATGAATAACGCCATAATTATATCTCATACAGGGCGGAGAAGGGCTGCTTGGTCCGCCCTGTCGGGCTGCACACTGCTTGTTCTACAGGGGGCACCCTGGCCGGGATGGAGACCTGCATATTGGAGTAGTTTTATAATAACCGTATTCCCAAAGGTCAAATACGTCAAATGCTTTTAGCATTCCAGTAGGTTTAAACCTTTGTAACGAAGTCTATGGACCAATAGGAGTTTGACAAAATTATTTGCGCTCCTCTAATTGAAATGGCCTGTCAACATTACGTGTTTGGTCGTGGAAGTTCGAGCATAGCACGATTGGGCTCTTTCGACAGATTTTTAAACATTTGAGGACATTTTACACACTTGTTCTCCATAGAAGTGGCCAATAAAATATAATGATAAATGTATATCAAAAGCGATGCAAAATAAATATGCAAGCATAACAATAGCACGCAGTGTTAGTTCGACCAGGATGACTAAATGAGTACTGAACTACGTCATTTCTGAAAAAATCGCGCAAATATGCCAGCATTTAATTATTCAGGTACGGCAAAAACAGTGCTGCTCCAAGCAACGGAACAAGAAGCTTTACGGAAATGTGTGCTGGTGGCATCACTCCACGAGGCGAGGGTAGGCGATGACGAAGCTGTGCGGTAGAGGGGTGCGTGAGGTAGCGGCCCCTGGCTGACTTTGGCTCCGGGGACTCACCGTAAGGTCCACTGCCGGGCTGTCCGTGTGAGCAGCCTACGCCTCTGCGGTCTCCGCCGCTGCCTCCGCCGCCGAAGCCACCGCCGTTGCCTCCGCCGCCGAAGCCACCGCCGCCAAAGACACCGGCGCCGCCGCTACCGCCGCCGTTGCCTCCGCCGCCGAAGCCACCGCCGCCAAAGGCACCGCCGCCGCCGCCGCTGCCGCCGCCGCCGCCGCCACCGCCGCCGCCGCCGCCGCCGCCGCCGCCGCCGCCGCCGCCGCCGCCGCCTTGCAACGGGCGGGGTGAGTGATGGTACGTAACTCAGTGGCCATACACCTTCGATTTGCTCTGGCCTACACGTACTGGAGCGAGGTTTAGGATTGGGTAGCGGGCGGATTGAATAAAGCAGTTCTTACCCTTGTGAAAGACTCTCCAACAGACCCCAACTTAATCTATCACCTCGCCACGTGGACTTTCGTATTCTGCCTCGCATTGTTCAATCGTACCGTGATAAACCCATATAAACATCCCCTTCCTCCACGTCGTACCACGTCAGATTTTAGGCCTCGAATTACATCGCAGAGCCGATCTCCTGATTCCACAAATGATTGCAAATTACACCTACTTTGAGCTTACAGCACTATTTTCACAACTGCTTGTGAAACACATTTGAAACAGTCATGTTTACGAACCTAAGTGTTTTTCATTTTGACTCGAGGTAAGCAATTTTTGTCTTGACTTCACGTAAGCACAGCTCGTTTACTGATCCATGCCGAACTCGAACAGAAGCCGAATTTGGTGCAGCACCGAGCGGCTTTAACACCAAGTGGACTGGCTATGTGCCCTACCCCCTCCCCATCCCACAAGCCGGCCACGTCTGCGTCAATACAAAGAAGCACCAACATGTCCGAAATGTTTACATCTCCGACAGGGCGCCCTCACCTCCGTACTGCGCTGCAGCGCCAGCCACCACCACCAATACGAACAGTGCAGTTCTCATCTTGGAATTGGTGCTGCAGCAGGCCGCCGACCCTCTTAAATATGAGTCTGACCGTCCCCGCCGCTGGTCTTGCCGCATTTGAAGGGCACCTACTACGAACGGTAGAACGCGAGGCAACAAAAGGGAACATGCTTACCCGACATCTGGCGCCATGGCGCCGTTGGAAACCTGACTCCACCGCGGTATTATCAACATTACCGGCAGCGTCCCGATTTGGCAAATAAACAGTCACGTAGCAGCCATTATAAAAGCTGGCGAAAGCGAAAACTCGCGCCCATTCCAGGCGTGAGGCCCGTCGCCTTCACACAACGGGGAATACCCAGCCGGGTGGCGCCGAACCCGGGACTTTCCCGTGGCATAGCCCCAGGCTGGGAAAGGCCAGGCGTTGGGTTTTTCAGGCTCTGCGTGGCCGTCTCTTGTTATTCCACAAGTTTTAAGAGTTTGCCGGTCGCATCAGGATTGTTGAGGGAACCGAAATCCCGCCGTGAACGACGCCGGCTTATGCACGCAGTGGTCGCGTGTTTTCGTTCGGGGGTTTGCTTTGAACGGATGAAGGCCGTAATTCATAGCGAGAGAGGAAAGAGCCACCCAGGTTTGATGGGCTGACAGGCTATTTGAAGTTAGTGTCCTTACGTACAAGTACATACTCTGCCCTGCAAAAGTACTGCCTCCTATAGACCATGAAGCAGGGATCAGACTCCGACGCCATGTGTCTTAGAACTGAGCGCGTGAAAAGTAAACATCCCAGCTGGACGAAACTTCAGCGCAGTATTTACGCTCCAGAAGCTGCGACACATCACCTCGGGGAGGGGCATCCACGTTTGCAGATGGCGGGTGTCGTGCAGTGTGCACTAGACTGCGCCGCATTCCGCATAGCCAGGTTCATACTGCAGCCACCTTTAATGTTGGGGCATGCTGTACCGCTGAACACCGAGCCGGCCGTCAGCGCGCCCGACATGGGGGCGGGCCAGTTACAGTGCAATGCATCTCTAAAACTCATCATGTAGGCTTGCGAGCTCAGGAGGGCGCTGAGTTCACTGAGTGACTGTCGCTTTGGCCCACAGTGATGGCGACGCCCTGCAAAAGCTGTCAGTTTTGGCATCAAAGGCTTTTTTCACATTAAGTCTTGTACCGTCAGATCAGCAACACTCATGCCAAACATGAGCAACTGTGCTCAGTCGTAAGAGAAGTGGGACATCAGCTGCAAAGTGACACAGACTCTCAGGCAATTTGAACGAACTGCCTGGGTACTGCAAGAGATACATGTTGCGTCGTAACTTTCTCAAGCACGCGATGCCGCTGAGGTTTGTGCATTAACACCCGAGTATGTTTCAACGCTACCTGATTGTCCTAGAAGTGCACGACATCCAGAGGCCCAAGATCGGGGGCCCACGATCCAGGAGCCCACGATCGGCCCTGCAGTCTTGCAAGCAACCGGGGAGCTGGGCCAGTTCATCGCAGCAAGGGGACGCCGGGCCCCTCACGTTCGGCAGCGCGGCGAAAGTTTGAGGTGGGGCGTGCAATGTTGATCCGGGAAAACTGTCGCTAGGAAAGGCCAGGTGTCGTTCAGTCTGCGGTAAAACACCAGGATATTGTTGCGAAATTGTGCTTGGAAAAGCTTGTTCACAATGATGAAGCCCGCACGCTTGTGATTATGTCGGAGATACTCACGTTAAACCCGCGCATGGCCAGGGATCTGAGACGACTAACCCCACAACCCCAGCCGGGGGAAAGTTTACTTCATAACAAGCGTTAAAACTGTGGGGATTTCAGTCCAACTGTTTTTGTTCCCCCACATGAGTGAGGTCAGACCAGGCTACCGTTCAAAATTGATCTGCCAGCACCCAACAAAAAATATACTTTTTCACTAAGTTTTCACATAATTTATCTTATTAGGTGTAGCTTTTAGGCAAAAGTAATCCAGGCATAAAAAAACGCTTAAGGCTGACCTAGAAGTCATCTAAGGTCAACTTAGGTCAAATTCATAAAGCAGCCAAATGAAATTTGGAGCACTGGTCGGCCCATGTGACCAGCGCAATACTTTTCTGTGGTCAGAAATAGTGTGTTGTTTACCTGCTTGGCAATACATCTGTAACATATTGAGAACAGGTACGTTGGCACATGAAATTATGCGTCTCCAGTTTCACGAACACGATAAGGAGGTGGTTACACGCGTCACCCTCGTTCATATAGGCTTCCCGCTACTGACAGCATAGGTCATTGACCTTGAACAATCATAAACGGCCTTATTGTTCTCACATGACTACTGTGAGTTAATTGTACCTTAGAGCGATATCATAAAATGTCTTCAGTGGAACACTCCAATTCTTCGTCCAACACTAACGACTTTTAAGCCTAAAATGTGTCTTGCAGGCGGTATCCATAGAGATACTTCACGACCTGGGCTAAGGCCATGTGCTCTCTGGTCACAAGATAGTTGTACATGTCACTTAGTACTTTTTTTCTCATATGCAAACACTAAAACTAAACAAAGATGCGTAAAAATTCGCATTTTTTGCGAAAATAGCAGCAAATAACTTGACTTAGGTCGCTGACTTTACGTTTTTAAAAAACATCTGAGCGATATGACCTGCAGCTGACATCATTTTCTATTATTATAACTACTCTGAACGACCGCACACGTCCCACGAAAAATTATGTGTGATCAAACCTTTTTAGAGGTTGATCCCTTTGATCTGATCTAGATCAATGAGCTGGGTAGATCAAAACTTAAAATATACACAAAGAATACCCAAAATTGATGCCAATTGACCAGGGTACAGATCACCTACCAGGATGGTAAAATTTGATAGGAGCAGTATGTGCGTGCCTGCGTGTCCGCGTGCGCGCGCGCGTGTGTAGTGAGTGAGAGATCGTCACGTGCGCTGGTGTATGGAACCAGCAAAGAGCGAAATCCGTAATGCAGTGCGGAATGTAACAGCGACGACTGAGGATGGGGAAGGGTGTATTCTAAAATGCGTAAGGTTTCGATCTAATGAGGCCCGCTAGAACTCTCGCAAGGAAGCAGTCCTTTGATGCGCTTGCTTGGTCTGTGGATTTTGATATGGTCATATGATGTGGAGCGCCATGCAGTTGCGCTATGGACATCAGCGAAAACGTTTATTTATTATTTAAAAGATAGCTTGAGTCCGTGACACTGTGCCTGAGATGCAAGACACGTATTTTCTGAACGGACAGTGAACGTCCGATTTTGGAGCAAAGTTTTGATATAGGTGAGACAGCATTATTAGCCTTATTTATTGCAGAATAAACAGGAGAATGGAGGTAGATGTATGTGATATTTCGTCTCCAAAACACGTTCAGACTGAAATCCAGGGAAGCACGGAACATTTGTCCCTTTTACATCTCAAAGTCATCTACAGAACACAGGACCATTCAGACAGCAAAGTAAGTGAATCTATTCTTATAAGAAGTCGGCGGCCAGACCTTAACGTACATGGCTCATCATGACCGATTATGCGAATGTAATGTGTGGGTTCATGCGTGATGTATGCTAGCTTGAAATCGTTCGATGTATGAGAAATGGCTGACGCGTGATGCGCGATGACCGTTTAATTGAAATCGTTTGCACGTATAAGTGATGCGTGATGCGTGACACCAGTTTGCTGAAAATTGTTGTGTTAAAAGCGATTATAGGGGCTGCTTCCAGGGCCCGGTCCTCAACGTACCGCGGCCTAGATCCTGGGCACTGCGTCGCCGGCGTCAGCGCAATGCCCACCAGCTTTCTTCGCGCCTCGCCTCGGGCGGGCGCTGCACTTTCCCATCTGGCCCAGTTCCCGCGTGGCGTGGCGCTTCTGATGCCAGCTGGGGTGACGGCGGCGCCGGCGCGGCGGGGTCCCTGGGGCGAAGCGACAGCATCTTCCAAACATGGCAGGAAAGATCCCCGCGCGCATGCCGTTTCTCGGGTGATCTGGCCTTTCGTGTCCATTTATCTTATTCGGCCGGCGGAGGGCACGCGTTCCTCTTTAACGTGATGGTCCACTCGGAACAAGAGGCCATCGTCGTGGCCGTCCCGAGAAATCGCGGTTTATCCCACCTGGCCGGGCGATACACGTTGTTTTTCCCCGCAGATCTGGTCAACAACGCGGGCCGATCGGCCGGAGCCTCGGGCGAATCCACTTTCACCTTTCG